TGCCCAACCCTTAGAGAGAGGAAAGTGATCAGCTAAATCAACAAAAAATATATTTTATTAAAATATTAATCAAAATTTAAAAATAATGCAATTTTTCAATAGTACATTTACCTGCAAATTCTTGATTTGTAACAATCACATCCTTTTTTTTATTATCTGAAAAAATATAATAATATTAATTAGTTGAATTAATAATTTCACCTGCATCAATTAAAGCAAATTGATTTTTCATTTTATATTATATCATTTATTTTTTTGGCAAATAAAAATTCACATTGTATAAATAGAAAAGTTCGATGGGCAACTCAATTTCCTTGTGTGACAAAATATTTTATATTTATTATATTTATATGTAAATTAGCCCCTATTTGTCATAAAAATCTATTTACTTTTTAATAATACTTTTTTATGTAATATGAAGAATTATTATACATTTTATTCATTTTTAAAAAGTAAATTATATACCCTTTCTGCTTTCACTAAATAATATCTATGTAACATTATGAGAATCTAAATCTAAATCCAAATTTTAAAAAATAAAAAAGAATTAAATATATTTAGTGGAATGTCAAACTATATTGCTTGCAATATAAAAAATGTGTTATTTTAAAAAGGATTACTTTCTATAGACTTCTTTAAAAGATGTAAATCATGTTCTTTAGCAATTGGTTTTTCACAGTCAACATCTGGTAAGCATGTACTAATAAAATATGGATAAATGGCTTGATCTACTTTTCCACTCCAATCAAAGTCAATAATCTTTATATGCTTCATATCAGTTGAAACCATGATATTGGATGCTCTAAGATCACCATGCACATAATCCCCATAATGTAAAAGTTTTGCAGCATCCATTACTTTTTGTTGTAAATATTCTTGATTATCTCTTTTTTCTTTCAGAAGATTGTAAAGATTAATGTACTTATTATCAGCCAGATACTCCATGACAACCATTTTCCAACTTCTAGAAAGATCATTAAGTGCAAAAAGTTCAGGTGCAATTTCTTTTTTTTTCACAGAATTTGTGAGCTTCTTTACAATATTTTCATGTGAACTTCACTACCATCCACTTATCTTTAAATTCTCCATTCTGTCCTTGTACCCTAAAAACTAATTTACCATCACATAGTTGATCTTTATAAATAAATTTGATATCACTGTTATCATCCATTTTAAA